GGGCGTCGGTTCCAGGGATGGTGTCGAGTCATTGCCCGTGCCAAACCGCTGGTTTCTTGCTTTTCAATATCGGCTTCACTCGTTTTAGCCGTTCACAGCATGGCAGCTCTGTTTCTTCGATATGTAACCTCTCCTTACATATATATATATATATATAGATCTATGTATACACGTGTACGCACATCCATTTATATATCCATGTATACATATCCACGGGCGTGGAGCACGTCGCGGCGTCGGAGGTCCGCGGGCTCTGGCCGTAGGGCCCGCTGGGGGCGTGAGCGCGTGCATGTGCATGACCAGACTTGGACCGCGGTGCGCGCGGCGTACGGCGCAGGCACCGCGTCAGGCCGAGTCCTGCGTAATGTTTTTGGGAAGCCAGAAATGGCATAAACATGCACTTTCGGAGGTTCGCGCGTATTTCTCGGATCGGCGCCACCCCCTAGCGGCGCGCTCCGCGCGCCAGGGAGGGGGTTCCATCGCCGAGCCCAGTAATCTGCGCGAACCTCCAGAAGTTTAGGTTTGTGGTATTTGTTGTTCCCCTATCCCTGGCCTCTCATCTATGCCCTGGCTCCTCCGCCTCCTCCCGTGCCCCCCGTCTTTTTCGCTTCTCGTCCTGCTCGTCTTCGTCCCCGCCGTCGAGCTCATCTTCCCCTCCGCCGCCTCCCCCTCTCTTCCTCCGCCTGCTCGCCGACGTAGCCATTGCTGTCGCCGCCGCTGGCGTCTCCGTCGCCGTCGTCGTCGCCGTTGTCCTTCCGTCTCCTCCTCTTCCGATTCCTCTTCCTCCTCTTGCAGCTCCGTCTTGCAGCTCCGTGTTGCTGGTCTCCATGTGCCACGTCGCGCTCGCCGCCGCAGGAACGCGGCGTGGCATGCGGCTGCCGCGCCGGCTCGAAGCTTCGCTCGCGACAGTGACGACGCCATCGCGCAGGCTGCGGCGGACCCCTGGCTCGAGGAAGCGGTTTGTGGCGATCCACCCGTGTTTCTTCGCGTTCTCGGCGGCGCTGGAGGAGTGTCGGGTGAGGTTTGTTGTGATCCCAGTCTCGTGCTGAAGCAGTCTGCAACCGTCTCCACCCCTAGGCTTTGGGCCCACACAGGCAGCCGTCGGTCTCAAAGTCGCTCACTGATGGAGGCCGGCCCGCAGTGGCCAAGGAGTGTGAGGACGTCACCGCATCACTGTCCGACGCCATGGTCTGCCCACGGTTTCACGCCGTGCCGCTTCCGGCCATCCGACACCGTGCCCTGCTGGCCCGACGGGGAGACCGACGCGGTGCCCGCCGCGCAGTCCGACGCCCAGCCCGCCTCGCCGCCCGACGCAGGGCCTATTTCATCGGCCGACGTCTGGGACGATTTGTTGTTCGGAACTGGAAGCATTTAAGAACCCCCCCCGGTATATCCGAGCACCGTAATTTTACTCGACATTCCACGGGGGCATTTTCGCGGAACGGTATCTGTAGCACCGCGCAATTGTGATAAATAGTTAATTCCCGCCCCTGGGCTCGGGTAGGATTCCCGTTGGAGTTTGTAGGCGTCCGATTTGGCGGGAGAGTTCTGGCGGGAGCGTTAGCCAGCTCGGCCTGGCCAGCCTGCCCAACACCACGGCGCTGCGGCTCTTCCGTGGCTCTCGTGACCGGCCTCGCCGCGCTCCTGCTGCAGCCGGCCCCATCGCGGGAATCGGCGGATCTGCACGTGCACGCTGAGGTACGTGCGATTGGCAGGTCGGCCTGCCTTTCCCGTCTGGTCGAGGCCGATCTGCCAGCATTGTGGTGCTTATTGACAAGTGGGAAGTGGAGGGGGAGATCTGGAAGGGGCCGGGGGTCGGGAAGAAGGGAAGCAGAGGGTGAGCGAGTATGACTTGTATGACCAGCTTGTTGGTCACGAGTGACGTAGCTTCCCAGAATATATGAGTCTCAGGAGGGGGTGCTTCTGCCTTCTCCTTTTCTTTTCCCCCCCTTCTTCATGCACACTCCGCCATCCCCCCCACTTGCTTCCTTCTCCGCCATCCCTTCATTGACCTTGTCGTCGTCGTCCTCCTCCTCCTCCTCCTTCGCGTCCTCCTTCGCGTCCTCCTCATCTTCCTCATCCACCCCCACCTCCACCTCCACCTCCTCCTCCTCCTCCTCCTCCTCCTCCTCCTCCCCTCCTTCCCCACGTCTTCTTCGCCCCCCCCATCGCGATCCCCTCCTCCCCTCCCCCCCCTCCGCAGGCGCAGCGCGGTCAGAGCTTCGCTTTCTTCGATGTCGAGGGTATGGTCGCCGACCGCCGCCTCCGCGCTGGGGCTCTCCGATCCTCTCCAAGAAGAGGGAGGAGGGGGGAGGGTCACAGTCGCGTCTGATTAGCAGGTCGACCCTGAAACATCTACGGCACCTCGAAAAATAGTTCGAAGGAGAAACAACGCCAGAAACATATAATTTCTACGCCCCGCGCGGATTTCTTGGATCCGCGCTGGCCCCCCGCGGCGGCGCCTCCGGCGCCGCCCCCGGCGCGCTATGGGCTCCAGGTGGCGTTTTGCTTCTTCTACGGTACCCCCGTGTCCTGCATCTTGTGTGTTATGGCCTCATGCCCGCAGCACGGCGTGCCTTCGGAAACGACTTGTGTCCTTCCGCGTGTCCCCCGCAATCAGTCCCGGCTGTAGGGAAGCTCCATTTCCTCCTCATCCTCGTCCTCCTTCCCCTCCTCTCTCCCACCTGGTCAGTCCTCCAAATTGGTGTGCTTTCTGGTGGGACTTGGCGCGGGGTCGGCGAGGATTCGACGCAGATTCCGTTTGCATTCGACTCGGATTCGATTCGACGAGCCCGACATGGACCCGAAAGTCGGAATCGACGCGGCACTGGGGCGTGACGGGACAGACGCGGTCTCTCGAAGATGCAACACGACCTCGCCTTCGTCGTCCTCCTCGTCATGCTCCTCGTCTTCGCCCTCGCCCCCTCGTCCCCTGTTCTCTCTCCGCCCCCTCCTCCCCGCCGCCTCGCCCCCTGTTCTCTCTCTCCCCCCTGTTCTCTCTCTCCGCCCCCCTTTCCTCTGTCGGCCTCCTCGTCCCTGTGTTCTCTCTCTCCGCCCCCGCCTCCCCGCCCGACCTTTGCGGGCCGTCTGTGGCCCCTGGGCCTGGACGGTCGTGGGGGTTCCGCCGGCCTTCGCGCAGGGGGCCGACGACTGCAGAAGCTGCGCTGCAGCTGCGGGGGGCCTCGCCTGCCCCCAACACCGGGGCCCTGTCTCGTGCCCGACGTGGGCTCGTTGCGGACTCGACGCGGATTTGGCGTGCGCTCGGCGCGGATTCGGCACGGATCCGAGGAGGCCGACGTGGATTCGACACGGATTCGGCGCGGCTGGGGTCGCGACGGGACAGACGAGGTCTCCCCCAATCGAGTTGCCCCAGAGCAATTTGTTCGCCAGCTCTACGAGCAAGTACGCAGAAGGTTCGTCGACTCGCCACCCTGCGTGCTTTTCCGCATACTCGACGAACAAGCCTATGTTTGGGGGGCAAATCCGTTCTGCAGCCGATCCCTGTCTTCATCGCCCACCAAACCACCCCAACCCAACCCGAAGGCCCCGATCTGCCCTCCATTTCCGGTGGGTGAGGGGAAGATCGGGGAACATGGAAGACACACATAGTATGAAGCCCGTGCCCCTCCCAAGCTCGAAGTTCGGGTCTTTGGGCTGGGCTGGGGTGGTTGCTCGCAGCCTCAGCCAGTGCGGGGTCGGGGGCCCCGGCGCTGGGCCCACCGTGCCGTGGCCCGCCCGTGCGGCCCGCGCCCGCGCCCGAGATCTACGGCGGCGGGGAGCCTACGGCAGGCGGCGGGAGGCCCTGAGCCCGAGACCGGGGCCTGCGCCCTCCTGGCCTGGCCAGGGAAGCATGCACGCCGACCCCGGGCCCAGGGTGGGCCCTGCCAAGAGATCGGTCTACCGTCTACCAAGAGGTCCGGCGCTGCGAAGCAGAAATGGCGGCGGCGCTGCGGGGCACGGCGCTTCCCCCTGCTGGCGAACGAACAGCACACACGCGCACACCCATGCCCACAGGAGGAAGAGGTACCCATATCGCTACCCTTCTCTCGTTTTACCCCTTTTGGGCCTCCTGTGAGGCCCTCGTCGCCACCGCTGGATTCGCCTTTGAATCTTGGTCAGAACGCGCCCCAGGAGAGGTCCGGGGAGTAGCGGTATTGGTACCTTTTGGTCTCCTCAATAGTAAAACGACACGAACGTCGGGACAAAATCGGATCGGGATAACTCGAACTCTCTGAGAATCGGCGGGTTTGGAGGATGTATTGGGCGCCGCGGCCGCTCCAGAGCGTTCCGGAACGCTCTGAGAGCGCTCTGGAACGCTCTGGAGCGATTTATCCCGATCCTAGCCCTGTTTTAAATAGAGGGGTCGGAGGGAGGAGGACTGGCTGTGGGTATGGGTGCGAGTTGTCGGACCGCGGGGCAGGCTCCCGTCACGGCGCTGCAGAGGCGATCCGCTTTTGCGTGGAGCCAAACAGCGGAGGTGCGGGTTGTCCCGCATGTGAGTGGGGAGGAGCAGCAGAGGGCGGCCGCGGGAGTGGGGAGGGGAGGGGAGGGAGCTCTCACGCGGCAGCGCCGCAAACGAACAAACACACACACACAAACACACACACACACTCATACTCATGGGTGGGGTCTGAGGGATGAGGACTGGCTGTGGGCATGGGTGCGGGTTGTCGGACCGCGGGGGAGGCTCCCGTTCGAGCGGGGAGCCCCCTCCGACAACGCGCACCCATTATTAGCCCCCTCCGTCCCTCCTGCGGGCATGTGTGTGTTGTTCGCTCGTCACCTGCTGACTTGATCGGGTACAATCCTGCGACTACTGCTGGCCTCCCTCGTTGTCGTCGGTCGCGTGGCCGCGCTCGTTCGTCTGTCGTCCTCGTCCCGCCGTGGTCGTTCGCCGCCGTCGTCGTCGTGCCGATGCCGCTCCTTTGCCTCTGCCTGGACCTCGCGCGGCTAGTCCAGAAGTCCCTCCTCCGTCCTTCCTCCAGGGAACATCAGCCACGCGCAGAGGGGGGAGGGGGGAGGGGGGAGGGCTTCTTAGAAGCACCCCTGCTTTTTAGAAGGAGCGGCCTTATCTATAGATGGAAGGCCAGCGCCTTCTAAGAAGCAGCCTCCTTCTAAGAAGCCCACCCCCCGGGGCCCAGCCGTGGCGACGATGAGCCCCCAGGAGCCCAGTCAAGTCAGAAGGACGTCCAGCATCCTGAGCTCGGGGTTCGGTGACTACGCACTCTTGTGTGCCTCTATGTTGTATCTTTCCCGCGCGCGCAGTTAACAGGGGGACTCGAAACGGAGGGGCTGGATCCGTCGGTCCGTCCCGATTCTTCGGTCAGAGGGCCGATTCAAAGAGCACTCTTCAGGCTTAGGAGATACCCTGCAGACTGCTCCGACACGCATCTTTCGTCGTCGTCCATCTTGCTTTCCCTCGTTCTTTGAACGTGGGCTTTTCATTGTGCAGTGCGGGCAAGAACAGATGCAATCACATATATATATACATATAGAGAGAGGGAGTCGAGTTTGATGAGTAGGTCCATCCTTCCAACGCAAGGGTGCCGTCGATTCTTGTGTTTCGCGCCCCACCCCCCCTGCACTCCTAGGGCAATCTGGCCCTCGAAGGGTCCCGCCTCTCGTGCGTCCTCTCCGATCTGGCTCGACTGCACCGCCGAAGCTGGTTTGGCCAGTGGGGCTCTTCGGTCCTCTCGAGCCGCAGATGGCAGGAGTTCCCGAGCGACCCACAGCCGAGGCGACGCGGCCGCGCGCGCTCCCGCGCGCGTTCCAGCGAGGTCCGACGCTCGCGCCTGCTCTCGAACTCCAGGCGGGCCCCGCCTGCACCGCCCGACGCGCCACGCGGCGAAGGCGGTCCTCGTGGCTCCGGCAGGTCTCCTCCTTCACCTACTCCGCCCCCCATGACCCCTCTCCTCCTTGCCCCCCCCCTCCTTCCCCATCCTCCCCCTCTCCCACCCCTCCTCTCCCTCGTCGCCCTCCTGCTGCTGCGCTCCGCCCAAAAGACCGAGACATGGATCCGCGGTGTCAAACCAGGGCACGGATACACTCGAAGAAGAAAGTGCCAGATCTGTCGACGGTCCGCGCGGATTTCTTGGATCCGCGCTGGGCCTCCCCAGCGGCGCCTCTGGCGCCGCCCCGCGCGCCAGGGATGGGGGTCCAGCGCAGATCCAAGGCCACCGCAGATCCAAGGAATCCGCGCGGAGCGCCAAAAGGTTATGTGTATGCTTTTTTCTATACACGTGAGCGGAGAAGGACGGGAAGGAGGAGAAAGCCACGCCCTGCCTTAGCCCCAGGCCTCCTCGCGGTATGCGTCGAGCACGATGTCCCATCTTGCGAGGGCCTTGGGGGCATGGGGGCCGCCTCTCCGTCGGGGGCGCGGGAGGACACCGCAAGGGCAAGGGCACGGGCGAGACGGAGGGCCAAGGCGAGGGGAGGGGTAGACGGGGTGGGCAGCTCCAGCATACATCTGAAAGGACAAGACCTGGCTGATCCGTACTGGCGTCTAGCACGTGGTGGGGCACGGGGTGGGCGACTGAACCGTTTGGAGTCACAGTCGCCGAGATCCTCACCCCGCAACGCAACGCATCGACCGACCGAGCAGCTCGGGGAGCGGCTTGCCCAGAAAGTGAGGCGGACACGCAAATAGTAGTGCACATGCATAACAAACACACCCCTCACAGACGTTCAAGCATCACGTGTGGTTGTTCGTCATAAATTGCAAGTGCGCCTCCTCGAGGGCATTCCCTGGACAATTCCTGCCTTGCCGCAGTGCGTCCCGCAACACAAATCACTTCGGCGACAAACACTTGCAACATGTCCTCCCCCCCATGCCCTACTAACGTGCTAAAGGCTCATGCCTCATCGAGCTCCCACACGGTTGGCAGATGGGGGGCCACATGGGAGTGGTGCGCACACGCGAGTCTCCCGCAACCCGAGGGCGCGCCCCACCGAGGGTTGACGAACATTTGAGGACCATACACTTTGTGTGAAACCATGATCCATTCAGTGTGCGATCGAGCTGTCAGCCCCCATGGGAAGTCGCAAGACCGAACCGCCCTGCGAATGCTGTAGTTTGAGGAGCATCGAGGTGCCATTGAGGCACCGTGCTCGCGGGAGGAGCCGCGATCACAGCACATATTGTGTGCTGGAATTTGTGAGAAAAGAGCTCAGTTAGGCAATCGAATCCACTCGAGTCTTCGCAACAATCGTCTAAGTCGACGACAAGATTCGCACGCTTTCCCACGTGCACGGCGAGCCAGTTCTACATGGCTTTCTGATATCGTGGACAGAGCGTGTCTCCACAAAGACCTGCAGGCAGAGGATGTACATCCACAGCACATAGGACAGGGACAGGGAGAGGAGATGGAAGGCGAGGAGCCGGAGGAGAAAATAGAGGAGGATATCGCGGATGATGTGCATCGCACTCTTCTGGCGACAGTGTCAGCTGTGAGTGGTACGCATGGCGCAGATGGGAGCAAGACCAGCTCGCCAAGTAGTGCAATGCGCAGCGTCCACCAATTGTCGAGCGTCCAAGATCATCGTTCATGATTGGCCAACTGGAGGAGGGGGCCACCGTTGCCGTGGACCATTGCGAGCCCAGATGGTGAGCCGTTGCACGGGCAGGAACAGGATCGGGCGCACGGGACCCTGCGTAAGTACCCGCGGTTGACGCAGCCGCATCACGCGAAGGACAGGTAATGTCCCGTGGTGCAGGCCCTGCTGGAGAGCCGCCCAGGATGAAGGAGACGCGCGTCGGGCTCGAACGCCGGGTTAAGCCCTGGCCGGCCTCGGTAAGAGCACGGAGGAGGGAGGAGGGCGGATTTTGTATGGCGTCGTCGTCTGCCTGCTTCCTCCCTCTTCCCCCTTTCGCAGGGCAGCGCAGCCTGCCCAGGAGCATCGTGGCGGCGCCTACGTAGAGCAACTTGGAGGGCCCGTCTGGATTGATCGCATGGCATTGATCGCATGGCATTGTATCGCATGGCAAACTGGATACAGGATCCAACGCGACACCGTCTCGCAGCGAAGTCTAATTTGCTGGTCGCTCGTGCTTTGAACAACAGCAGTGGCCTCCACAATCAGACACCAGGCACGCCTGCCGTCCCCGGCCAGCTGCTCCTCTCATTCCTCCTGTTCCTCCGCCTCTTCCGTCTTGCTGCCTTGCTCTATCCCTCCCTCCCCTCCTCCCTCCCTCCTCTCGTCGTCCTCCATTACCCCTCTGCCGTTCCTTCTCGCTTCCTCATCCAATCCTCCAAGTTCTGAAGGGTCCTGGCTATGCCTGGGGGTTGGCTTCGGCACTCTTCCACGGGAGGCCCAGGCCTCCCTTGCGCCTAGTGCGGGCGTTACTTCGAACCGTCGCTAAAAACGACTTCTCCTTTTCCTCCTCCTCTTCAACCTTTTCCTCTCATCCTCATCCCTGTACTGAGCGCTCTACCGATTCTCGGCTGCGCAGGGCCTCGGGCCCAGAGGTATCCTCGTACTTGGCGTGACCCAGCCGCTCGCTCGCCTTCCTCCTCCAACCTCATCTGGTCCTGCTGACCGTAGCCCCTCCTGTGGCTCTGCAGCGCTTATGATGCGCAACACGTCGTCCTTCCTCCTCGCCCTCCTCTCGTGCCCGCCATCCTCATCCTCACCCGCATCGTCCTCTTCGCCCTCCACTGCGACGAGACGGAGGACAAGGACCTAGCGCCAGAACATCTGGACCATCTTGGAACATCTTCGATCATCTGGAGAAAAGAACACGCACGACCCCAACCAAAGCACGGGAAGTGGACGTCCGAGCGATGCAAAGGTCACGGGGGGGGGAGGCGGAGAATGCCGAGGAGGCGGAGGGATCTGGATTTGGACCTGGAGGAGCGGCTCATCGTCAAGCTGTAGGAAGCCTGCGAATAAGCAGCAAGATTTATGCAATGCCGTCGTTACAGAACACGAGAGCGTGGCGGTCAATGCCGTCCACCACGGCTGCACAAAGACAGGTTCAAGCAACGAGATGTTGACACTGACTCCGACTGAGGCCACCAGACAAGTGACACAAAGAGGAAAGCAGTACTGAAAAGTGATGGGAGGCACATCGGAGGTCCATGACCTCTATCTTCCAACACATTGTGAATAGCTGCACCGAGGCAGAAACTGATTCCCAGAGGGGGAGAATGACAGCTCACAAAGAGGCCGGATACCATGGCGGGGAGGCCCCGAATATCAATGCGAACCGCCAGAGGCTGGGAAAACGAGAGACCAGACCGCTGCCCAAGGGGCGCGCTAGCGGGGCAGATCGTGTCGTAGACCACGAACTGCTGAGGGGTACGTAGTCCGCGTGGGCGAATGGCAGCTTCATGAATATGCCCAGCACCACGTATCACTCCGCCCTATGGCTAAGCTTGGAAGCCGTTGTCTGCGCCAGGGATGCGCTGCCGTAGCGGAAGGGGTGGTCCTCGTAGGTGGTACGCCGCCCCGATAAGATGCTTGGCATGTCGTAGCACTCCGCCGAGCAGGGTTAGCTGGGACGCGGCCGCCTGCGCCAGGGACTCGCGGAAGGGGTGGTCCTCGTAGGGGAAACCCCGAGGAGATGCATGGCACCCTGCAGCTTTCCGCCGTGCGGCTGAGCTTGGAAGCCGTGGCCTTCGCAGGGGCCGCGCTGCCGCAGCGGAAGGGGCAGTCCTCGAAGGTGGACAGCAGCCCAAAGGAGGTGTTTTGCACCTCGTGACACTCCACCCTAGAGCTGAGCTTGGACGCTGTGGTTGTCATGCCCATGTCAGCCTCTCCTCCTCCTTCGCCTCTTTCTGTGCTCCCTTGTGTGCCGCCGTTGCGGCTCACAAGGGCCCTTGAGTCACCTGGCGCGCAGGCGACGGGCGCGCCGTGGCCCCCGTAGAAGGAAACATAACGTGCTCTCTTACAGCACGGGTCCCCAACATTGTGTTTTGTGTCTACTCCCATACATTCCGCAGTCGCCGTCACCTGCGTGAGAGACGCGCTGCCGTAGCGGAAGGGTTATTTGATCGCTTCGCTCATTCCGCCGGCCCTGGAGCGCTATTTGGGGCCGTCTTGGGGGCCTCTTGGGGGCTTCTTGGGAGCGTTTTGGGGCTCCTTGGCGGCGTCTTGGGTTCCCCTGGGGCCTCTTAGGGGGCTCTTGGGGGCCTCTTGGGCCCTCTTGGGGCGATCTTGAGCCGTTTAGGGGCGTCGGGGAACCGAAAAGGTTAAAACGCCCAAATCTGTCCAAACCAAAGAAAAAACACAGTTTTTTGCCTCTTGGGGCCTTATTGGGAGTTCTCTTGGAGGCCTCTTGGGGCATCTTGGAGGCTTCTTGGGCCATCTTGGAGACGTCTTGGGCCGTCCGGAGGCCATCTTGGGCGTCGTGGAGCGATCTTGGGGCGTCTCGGACCTCTCTTGGACCGTGTTGGGGGCGTTCTTGGGGCCCTCTTGGGCCGTCTTGGAGGCCTCTGGGGCCGTCTTGAAGCCGTCTTGGGGCCATTTTGAGGGCCTCTTGGGCCCTCTTGGGGCGATCTTGGAGGCCTCTTGAGCCGTTTAGGGGCGTCGGGGAACCGAAAAGGTTGAAACGCCAAAATCTGTCCAAAACCTAAGAAAAAAAGCATAGATTTTTGCCTCTTGGGGCCCTCTTGGGAGTGCTCCTGGAGGCCTGTTGGGGCATCTTGGAGGCTTGTTGGGTTATCTTGGAGACCTCTTGGGCCGTCTGGAGGCCATCTTGGGCGCCGAGGAGCGATCTTCGGGCGTCTCGGACCTCTCTTGGATTGTGTTGGGGGCCTCTTGGGGCCCTCTTGGGGCGATCCTGGAGGACCTGGGGGAGTGTCCCGGGCGTGTCCCGGGCGTGTCCTGGGCTCCTCTCGGGGTACTTTTGATACAGCCCCGTGGATATGTTCTGCCCCTCGTAGCGCTCCGCTGTAGGGCGGAGCTTGGGCGCCGCCGCCTGCACCAAGGATTCGCTGCAGTGGCGGAATGGATAATCCTCGCAGATGATCCACAGCCCCGTGGAGATGCCTGGCATCTCGTAGCATTCCGCCTTTTGGCTAAGCTTGAAGGCCGCCGCCTGCGCCAGGGATGCGCTGCAGTAGCAGATGGAGTAGTCCTCGTGCGAAAGGCAGCCCCGTGGAGATGCCGGGCTCCTCGTAGCATTCCGTCGTGTGGCTGAGCTTGGAAGCCGCTGCCTCCGCAAAGGGCCGCGCTGCCGTAGCGGAAGCGGTGGTCCTCGTAAGTAACCCGCAGCCCTGTGGGGATGCCTTGCCCCTCGTAGCACTCCGCCGTATGGCTCAGCTGGGACGCCGTCGATTGCGCCAGCGCCGTACTGCCGTAGCGGCAGTGGTAGTCATCGAAGGTGGTCGGCAGCCCCGTGAAGCTGCCGGGCACCCTGTGGCAGGCCAGCGAGGCGGATCCATGTGAAAGGGGACGTGCGTTAATGTAGCCGGCTACGCGACCACGCATGCGAGTGGGTGCCACGCCGCGAGGCGCGGCGCTCATGACTCAAGCCGAGACATGCCGGAAGGAGGCAAGATGGTTGCGACTACGGTCCGGGCCTGATGTGGAGGGGGGAGGGGGGCGGAGGTGGGGACGCGGTCGGCAGGGAGCAGGCGCCGGGTGCTGGAGCCCGAGGAGGAGGCGGAGGAGGAGGAGGACGAGGAGGAGGAAGAGGAGGAGGAGGAGGAGGAGGAGGAGGGGGAGGAGGAGGAGGAGGAGGATGCGGAAGCGGAGGCGGAGGCGGAGGAGGAGGAGGAGGAGGAGGAGGAGGAAGAGGAGGAGAAGGAGGAGGAGGAGGAGGAGGAGGAGAAGGAGAAAAGGAGGAGGACAATGAGGAAGAGGAGGATACCGCACTGCATTGGAGACGCCGCGCAAGTCTCCCAGCGCGTGGCGGGCACAGAAAAAGGGAGATTCGGAGGCCGAAACACCAGGCGCCAGAAAGTCGCCAGCCCCCACCAGAGGATCGCGGGGCCACCGCTGGCACAGTAGGAAAAAAGGAGGAGGGGGGACGCGTGAGTTAGTAGTGCCACGGGGAGCACATCAGTAGGGTGTTCCACTCTCGTGACGGTGATCTTTCTTTTATTATTTTTTTTTTGCTTTCGGCGGAACCCCCCGCCCCCCCCCCCCCCGTAGAGAAGTTATGGGCTGATTTTGGCACCTGCTTCAGTCGATCGGACGAACTACGGGGGCCGGCGCCCCCCCCCCCCCCGTAGAAACTCGAATCGTTGATGTGTGCAACTGTGCGAACTTTTTCCTGCTATTCTTCTGGAACCATAACGAAAGGGCTCAGGGGCGCCGGACCCGATCGCCAAAAAGCATGCCTCCGGTTGGGCCCTCCCCTGTTATGCCACCGACGGCCTTGTGGAATCATGAATATGTGATCCATAGTAATCCTGGCACAGCCCCGCACAATCACGCACAGCCCCATTGTTAGAATGAGTTTGTTTACCAGTTTCACGCCTCATGAGGCTCAAATGTTGAATTTTAAGCTATGTTGAAAATTTCAAGATGATTCAATCGGAGGTATTGACTACGGGACGAGAGCCGGACCCCCCCCCCCTCCCCCCTTTGCGCCAAATGACGAAACCCAGAAGCCTGCCCAGGTGACTTCGGGGTCATGAACATGGAGAGGGCGAGGGGGCGGGAGTCGCCTAGACCCCTTGGCCCCCTCGTCGGCAGGGTGGTACCCGCCAAGAAACAAGCGACGATTGCGAGCGGCCCTTTCAGACATCCTGTAGGCAGGGTTGGCCGAGGGGCAATTTATCATCAGAAGTCCCGCTGTTCCCGTCGTGAAAAAAACCGCATGAAACACACAAGCAACATCGTCCACTGGCCACCCAGAGCCTGTGGCCCCTGGCGGCCTGAGCGGGAACAGGGCCCGTTGGCGGGAGGATGAGAAGGAGGAGAAGGAGGAGAAGGATGAGGATGAGGATGAGGATGAGGATGAGGATAAGGAGGATGAGGAGGATGAGGAGGAGGAGGAGGAGGAGGAGGAGACGGAGGAGGAGGAGGAGGAGGAGGAGGAGGAGGAGGAGGAGGAGGAGGAGGAGGAGGAGGAGGAGGAGGAGGAGGATGGGACAGCAGCATCAGCAGCGGTTGGAGGGCGAGGATACCGGGCGGAGGCGCGCCCCCCCAGCGCGGTTCTGCCCCAGCCTGCCCGCCAGTGTCTGCCGCTCCCCGTCGATGAGCACTTGCATCCCGGAGAGCTCCGAGGACGAGATGTGCGGGCCCTGGCCCTGGCCGGCCGGCTCGTCCGAGCTCCTCGTCCTCGTCGTCCCCTTTGCTCTTCGGGCCCTCTTCCTCCCCTTCGTCGCCGTCACCGTCGTCGTTTCTTGTTTTGCTCCCTCATCTTCATTCCCTTGTTTTATTTCCGTCCCGTTTCTCCTTCCTCTCCTCCCTCCCTCCTTCCTCACACCTCTCCTTCACTCTCCTGGCTCCTCTCCTCCTTCCTTCTCCTCCCTCCTGCTCCTCCCTCCTGCCTCCTCCTCCTCCTCCTCCTCACTCCTCCTGCCCACGCCACGTCCCTCCTCTTCCCGATTGTTTGACTCTGGGTACTGCTGGGGGGCGGCCTGTCGAGCGTCGGCCGCTGCCTCCGGGCAGTGGCCGCCGCTGCAAGAGTCATCGCGTGGCCGCCCCTGCAGGCCTTGCGTGCCCCGCTGCTGGTGAGTTTCGTGCCCCAGCCGAGCGAGGCTCGAGCCGCCGTGGCCGTCGGAGACGGTCGTGTGCAGCCCCTTGCAGCTGGCCGTGGCGCCTGGGTCGCGCCCTGCCCGACAGATCTGGGTTTGGGGGGGGCTCGGGGGGGGGGGAGGGGCGGGTCCCTCCCCGGTGCCGCCCTTGGGATCGGCCACCCCTGCGCGGGGGGGGGGGGGGGGGCGGGATCCCAGGGGACGCCTTTGGGCGCGGTCTGCGGTTGCAGGCGTCAGGGGGGACGCGAGAGGTCATGACCCATTCTTTGTTCTCCCTGTTTACCCTCCTCCTCTTCTCTTTCTCTCGTCCTCGTCCTCGTCCTGTTTCCGCCTTCTGCTCCACCGCTAGGACCCCAGGCGCGGTCCGCCCACCTGAGGGGGGCAACAGGGGGCTGGATGTGACAGGGATTTTCTCTGGGGACTGGAGAGGTGGTGAGATAGGCTGGATGATGGAGGAAGGAGGAGGGAAGGATCTGGTGACGAGCGGGAGGGAGAGTGCCGATGAGGCGACGGTGTGAATTCGGAAGGACGGGGGCAGACGGGGAGAGGGAGGAGGAGGCGTAGGAGGAGGAGGAGGAGGAGGAGGAGGAGGAGGAGGAGGAGGAGGAGGAGGAGGAGGAGGAGGTTGAGGAATTGCAGGAGGAGAAGGAGGAGGAGTTGGCGAGATAAGTGAACAGTGGCAGCCATTGCGACTGTGGAAGGGGGAAGAACGGAACAGAAAGGATGGATGGGGCGGGAAGGGCCTCGGTCCTTTGATCCTCGATCCCTCGACGCTTCGATCCTCGACCTGCAACCCTCGGTCTCTTCTGCGACGGGGAGCGCTGCCACAGGTAGCCACGTCGTTCTCGCCGCCAGCAGAGGTCGACGTCGCCGTCGACGTCGACGTTGTCCTCGCCCTCGACGTTGTCGTTGTTGACGCCGTCGACGACATCGTCGTTGCCGCTGTCGACATTTTTGCACGTCGCTGCCGTCGTTGACGTCATCCTCGGTCGTCCCCGTCCCCGTCGTCGTCGTCGTCGTCGTCGTCGTCGTCGTCGTCATCGTCGTTCACACCGCCGCCGTCCACGACGCTCTCGACGTCGACGACGTCGCCCTTGTCCTCATCGTCGTTGTCGGCGTCCTCGTCGTCTCTCGGCGTCGTCGTCCTCATCGTCGGCGTTGTCGAGGAGGCGGAGGGTGGCCGCCGCGTAGGTCGCCCGCGCCCCCCGACGCGCCCACGGCGAGCAGCACGCCTGCGACGGGGAGCCGGGGGCCCGTCGTCGTATCGTCGTCGCGTTGTCGTCGTCGTTGTCGTCGTCGTCGTCGTCGTTGTCGTCGTCGGCGTCGTCGTCGTCGTCGTTGTGGTCGTCGTCGGCGTCGGCGTCATCGTCGTCGTCGTTCTCGTCGTCAGAGGGGTATGTGTGATGATGCTGCAGACGATGCTGCTGAGGGTGCCTCGCCGCTGCCGATGATTATGATGATTATGATGATAATGGTGATGATGCTGCTGATGATGGTGATGATGCTGATGATGATGATGCTGATGATGATGATTTTGATGATGCTGCTGATGGTGATGATGCTGATGCCTCTGATGATGCTGATGCAGATGATGATGTTGATGATGATGCTAATGCTGATGCTGATGCAGATGATGATGCTGATGCTGATACTGCTGCTGCCGATGATGATGACGACCAGTACGTATGATGACGAGGACGAGTGCGATGATGAACGTGTCAACTTGTTGCGATGCGATGGCTAGGCATGAGGAGGGGCGCGGTGGGAGGAAGACGGAAGGGGATGACACGGATCAGTGTCATGAATGCGTGTTGTATGAGCATGAGCGGGGAGGAAAAGGAGGGGGAGGAGGAGGATATGTAATAGAACAGGTCTTAGACCAGTATGACGACAGAGAGGTTGAAGGGCGGGAGACGGGGGACGAGAAAGAGGAGGACGACGACGACAACGCTGGGAGACGACGATGAGGGGTGAGGATGAAGACGACCAGGGACTGCGAGGAGGGTGGGGGACGACGACGATGATTGTGATGATGCTGATGCTGCTGATGATGATGATAATGATGGTGATGATGATGATCTGATTTCGAATATGGTACCAATGATGGTCGAAGTTCTGATGAGGATGATGCTTCTGATGGCGATGCTGGTGATGATTATGATGACGACGATGCTGACGACGATGATGTTGACGATGATGATGCTGCTGCTGAAAACGGAACTGATGATACATGAGGTTCTGGTGATGGTAACGCGATGCCTATGATGAGGCTGGCGGCATATAATGATGCTGTTGATGTTGAGTATGACGATGTTGAAGACGATCACGACCACGATGCCGATCACGTTGGCGATGACGACGACAACGAGAGTGATGACGAGGATGATGATATCGATGATGCTGATGATGCTGATGATGATGCTGATGATGCTGCTGATGGTGATGGGGATTGCGACGATGCTGATGATGATGCTGATGACGATGATGATGTTGAGGCTATTGATGCTGATGATGCTGATGATGCTGCTGATGATAATGGTGATGCTGATGCTGATGCTGCTGCTAACTTTGATGATGATGATGTCGCTGCTTAGGATTATGATGATGATGGTCATGATGCTGATGATGATGATCATGATGCTGCTACTGATGCTGCTGATGCTGATGCCGATGATGCTGCTGTGGTTGCTGACGGTGATTGTTCGAGATGCTGATGATACTGATGATGGTGATGATCAGGACGACGACGATGGTTATGATTCTCATGTTGATGATGCTGCTGGTGCTGATCGTGAGGATGAGGAGGATGCTGCTAAGTCTGATGCTGCTGATGATGATGAGGATGATGATGATGCTGATGCTGATGCTGATGATGATGATGATGATGATGATGATGATGATGATGAGGCTGCTGCTTATGATGACGAGGATGGTGATTTTAGTGACGACTATTACGAGTTGACGGTGATGCTGCTGATGATGCTGATGCTGGTGATGGTGATCGTGATGGTGATAACGAGGAGTGAGACGGTGACAGCTACACTGACGGTTACGATGATGTTGAGGATGATGATGATGATGATGATGATGATGATGATGATGATGATGATGATGATGATGATGCTGTATATGCTGATGATGGGCATGGTGATGACGATGATGATACTGCTGATGATGATGCTGATGCTGATGCTGATGCTGATGCTGATGCGGATGCTGATGACGATGACGAGGACTAAGATGACGATGATGATGCTGATGATGATGATGATGCTGATGACTATGCTGATGATGATGCGGCGGATGACGATGCTGATGATGATAGTGGTGGTGGTGGTGGGGGCGGTGAAATGAGGATGGCTCTGATGATGATGATGATGATGATACTGATGACGATGATGATGATGATGCTGATGATGATGCTGATGATGCTGCTGATGATGATGCTGATGATGATGATGACGATGCTGATGATGATGATGATGATGACGACGAATGAGATGATGATGATGATGAGGATGGTGGTGGTGATGATGCTGATGATGCTGATATGCTGATGATGCTGATGATGCTGATGATGTTGATGATGCTGATGATGCTGATGATGATGATAATGGATAATAATGATGATGATGATGATGATGATGATGATGATGATGATGATGATGATGATGATGATGATGATGATGATGATGATGATGATGATGATGATGATGATGATGATGATGATGATGATGATGATGATGATGATGATGATGATGATGATGATGATGATGATGATGGTGATGGTGGTGGTGTGGTGGATGATGATGATGATGATGATGATGATGATGATGATGATGATGATGATGATGATGATGATGATGATGATGGTGGTGGTGGTGGTGGTGGGGGGGGATTAGGACAGAGGAGACGGTCCTGACGCGGAGAAGGAGGAGGAGGAGGAAGTGGAGGAGGAGGAGGAGGAGGACAACGAGGAGGAAGAGGAGGACGCCTCGCCTGGTCAGAGGAGGGATGAACCAATCGACGCGTCTGCACGGCCGTTGTCTCTTCAGGGCATCTGGGGGGGACCCGTCCCCGCTTAGGCGCGGTCATTGCTTTTCGGAGTATCATTTCTGAGCTGACCTTCTCTTCCTTCCCCGGCTCTCCTCCTCTCCCCCCTTCCTCCCCCGGCTCTACTTCTCGTCTCCGCGGACCCCGAAGATCGTCTCCCTCCCTCCCTCCCTCCCCCCCCTCCCCTTCCCTGTCTACCTCTCTCCCTCCTTCTGTTTGTTACTCCCAGGCCCTCCCTCGAGACTGCTTTGGCCAACCATCCTGCGGTGTTGGGTCTTTGCTTTGAATCCGTGGCGCCAGGCGTTCACTCCTCCTTCCTCCTCCCCCTCCTCTTCGAGGTGGATAGACCTCTGACCCTGACACGTCGAGTAAGGAATTGGCCGTTTTTGGTTCGTGAGAGGGCGTCGCGGCCGTCATTTTTGCGGGTCCAGGTCCGTCGGTTTCGGTCCCAGGCCGTTTTCACTAAGGGGAGGTTTCTTAAAGGGAGGTTTGTCCACCGCCGATCTTCCCTTTCCCGCTTCTGCCCTCCGCATGTCCTCATTGTCATCACCCTCACATACTTCGTGGCCCCATAGGGAGCTCCACCCAAGGCTGCAGTGGCAGGAATCACACGCGCTTCCCCGCCCATTCTGGCATGCACCTCACACGTTCGGAGGTTTCATGGGGAGCTCACACATTTCGTGGAGCATACACGCGCACACACCTTACACGTTTCGTGGCCCCATACGGCGCTCCCTTGAAGGCCCCAGTCGCAGGAATCACAGGCCCCCCCGACTAGTTCGCCCCATTACACGTTTCGCGGCCCCAAAGGGAGCTTCATCAAGGGTGCAGTGGCAGGAATCACCCGCCTATTGTGGCACGCCCCTCACGTGGCCCCTGGCCGCATAGGGAGCTCCACTGAAGGCTGCAGCGGCAGGCATGACATGCGCCCTTCCGCCGAATATGGAACGCCCCTCACACGTGTCGCCGCCCGATACGGAGCCCCACCGAAGGCCGCAGCTGCAGGCATCACATGCGCCTCCCCCCCCTCCCCCGCCAATTTTGGCGCGCACCTCACACGTTTCGCGGCCCCATAGGGAGATCCACCGAAGGCCTCAGTGGCAGGATTCACATGCAATCGCCCGCCCATTCTGGCACGCCCCTCACACGTCTCGAGGCCCTATAGGGAGATCCACCGCTCATTCTGACACGCCCCTCACACGTTTCGCGGCCCCACAGGGAGATCCACCGAGGACCGCAGTGGCAGGAAACACATGCAATCCCCAGCCGATTCTGGCACGCACCTCACAGGTTTAGAGGCCCCATGGGGAGCTCCACCGAAGGCCGCAGCGGCAGGAATCACATGCGTCCTCTCTCCCATGTCGCCCTCCCGCCCCCCATTCTTCGTCTCACCTGCCTCGCGACGCTCGCAGCTGCATAATTATGGTTGGGTCCCTCGCCAGATTTTTGTTAGGGTCCTGTGATAACCCGGGTTATCGGGCCCGCCCCGGGCCCCTGTCACCGGATATCTTGACCTTGTTGGTAGAGCAGGTCCGAGGGGGGGCAGTATTGATTCGCGCGGGCGTACGTGGGGCTGCCCAAATCGAACAGGTTAGGTTATCGGCTGGCACCTTCCCCCTCTTCTCCCCCCGGGTAACCCAGGCTATCACCGAAGAAATACGATCTCCTTCTCCTTCTTTCCTCCTTCTCCTTCCTGCTCTGGCATCGATAACGACTACGAGACCGACGACGCCGACGAAGACGACGACGAAGCTGATGCCGAGGCGGACGACGGTGGCGCTGGCGCCGACGCCGACGCCGGCGACGGTGATGGCACCGACGCCGACGACGAAGACGACGAGGGGCGGCCGCGCAGGAGCGCGCCGGGCTCTGGCGACCTGGGCGAGGGGAGACCTGCGCTGGCGCAGGCGCTGGTGCGGGGCCGGGGTGTGTGCTGGCAGAGGTGGCCCTTGCCCAGGGTGTACACATGACTTCCCTCGACACATATTCGTAGACAGCGTGGAGCCCTCCTCGCGCTTGGTTTCTTTCCGCCTTCGTGCCTCATTTCGCTCCCGCTGCGTCCCACCGCTTGCTGACCGGCTTCTGACTGTATTGCACCACTTGGCGCCCGCGGACCTTACAAGAAGTTTGACAGCGTGGTTCCCATACCGCGATTTCATGCAATGTATGCGGTGCAATCTCGGTGGTGCAATCAAAGTGGTGCGATCTAGGTGGTGCCATCCATGTGGTGCAAAGTATGCGGCGCAACGCAGTGCAAAGCCATACAACGCGATGCACTACAATGACAAACAGTGCAGCGCACTGCAAGGCAATGCAAGGCAATGCAAGGCAATGCAAGGCAATGCAAGGCAATGCAAGGCAGTGCAAGGCAATGTAAGGCAATGCGGAGCAATGCAACGCAATGCAAGTCAATGCGACGAAGCGCAAGACAATATAACGCAATGCAAAGCAGCGAAAGCAATGCAACCCAGTGCAGACCATTGCCAGTCAATGCAACACAAGGCACAACTCAACACCACGCACAACAATGCAACGCAACACACCCGTCGCCTGGGCCTGCGGGCCGCCCAGGCCGCCATGTGGCCGCCGTCGTCGTCTCGTCGCCGCCCGCGTTGAATTGCTGTTCACTGTGTTAGATTGTTTGGCTTTCATTGGTTTCTGAGGCATTGCATTGGTTTGCATGGCTGCGCACTTTTTGGCATTACTTTACACTGCGTTGCATTGCAGTGGACTGCTTTGCATTGCTATGCGTTGCTGTGCATTCGATTGCGTCATTGCATCGGACTCGCCGTGCTTTGCGATCGCTTTGCGCTGCGCTGCCATGCATTGGTGTGCATAGCATTGCTATGCCGTGCTCTGCATTGCTCTGCATCGCGCTGATGCGCTTTGCAGTGCTGTGCATTGTTTTGCTCTGTTTTGCATAGCTCTGCGCTGTTCTGCATTTCGTTGAATTGCCAGCCACAGCGGCCCGCAGGCCCAGGCGACTGGCGGCGACGAGGCGGCGACTGCGGCCACATGGCGACGCGAGGGGCCCGCATGGCCAGTGCCTTAGAACACAGGTCAGAACCCTTACGTGCAAGCACTGTTTGGGGAAACGCATGCACTTTGAGGTGCATGGGCTCGATGCTTAATAGCGCAACGGACTTGAAATGTGTAGTCAGCTGCACGAAAAGAAGAGGATGGCATGACGGTTAGACACGGTGCCTTGGTGGCAGCGACGCGACGCCAAACGCACTGTTGCTCAGCACTTGGATGCTTGCAGATGGTTTCGGCCGAAAATCTCGCAGCCTATACGTACCTGATTCTGAAGATGCACATGGATCGCCTGAGGACTGTGCAGCGTGCCCGAGTTGCTTGGCCACATTCCCCCCAGCTGGAACACCCACCAATCCAAATATAGGGCGACAGCTGTACACATACACATACCCTGGCCAGGCTCATCCTGAACCAAGGATCGGTGTACGTATACGTTCTCCTGGCTTAGCTACGGAGGCATATACATTGATCCTGGAGAGCATGAGGAGCTTCAAATGAGTCGCGCCATCTTCGGGCGTCGGAAGCTGGACATATACACCGACCTTGGCCTGGCCTTTCTGCTTCCTCTCCCCTCTCTGTGCGATGCTGTGCAAAGCACTGCCCAGCAATGCCGAGCAATGCACAGCAGTGAAAAACAGCCACTGCGACGCAAACCAATGCAAAGCGAGGCAAAGCAATGCAATGCAATGCAAATCTATGCAAGGCAGTGAAAAGCAACTCGTATCAAGCAATGCAAAATGATTGACTGCAAAGCAAAGTAACGCAGGGCAATGCGAAGTAAACCAGAGCCTGATGGCGACGGGGTGGCGACGGCGACCACATAGAAGCCGCCAGACCGACGGGCAGGCCCATAGCGACACAGCGGCGACGGTGCCCACAGAGCCGCCAGACCGACCGGCAGGGCGGCGACAAGGCGGCGACGGGGCGGCGACGGCGACCACATAGCCGCCATGCCGACGGGCAGGTCCAGTTCCTTTGGGAAGCAGTTAGAGCCCATAAGTGCAAGCACTGTTTGAGGAAAAACGGCATACAAGCTTTCGGAACTCCGCGCGGATTTCTCTGGATCTGCGCTGGGCCCCCTGGCGGCGCCTCCGGCGCCGCCTCTGGCACGCTCAGGATGGAGGTCCAGCGCAGATTCAAGAAATTCGCGCGCAGTCTATGTTTATGCAGTTTTTTGGTTCCTCTACAGGTGGCCCTTGCCCAAGGCATGCCCAGGGTTCCCAGGGAGGCGCCATGGGCCTCCAGAGAACCCCTCGCGAGGCCCAGAGGGCCTCGGGGGGCTGCACGAGGGCACGCGAAGCTGCGGTGTGCCCGCGAAACTCTTCATGGTCTGAGCGCGCGCGGTGCCTTCGCGTCCCCTCGCGGCCTCCTCCTCTCGTCCTCGCTAGGGGGCCAGGTGCGAACTCTACCCCTAAACCCCCACGATTTCTGAGGGGGAGGGTGGGGTTCACTTCGTTTGGGAGCCCCCGAACGAAGTGAACCCCACCCTCCCCCTCAGAACTCGTGGGGGGTTAGGGGTAGGGTTCGCACCTGGCCCCCTACTCGCGCCTCGGGTGCCTGGTTTGCGATTCCGCGTCGTGGTTTTCCGTTCCGGCCGTGCTGTACGCCCGCAGGCGCCGCGACACAAAAAGTGGTTCCCCAGCTTTCTGTTCATGGGCGCCGCTGTGGGGGCCCCGGGACAGAGTCATAGTATGGATCAGGAGTGAACAGTCTCTGGGGAAGTGGTCGGGGGGCGCTGGAAACAACGGGGCCGTCTTGTTATTGGCTCCGTTGTTTCCCTTTTCTACTTGTTCCGGCGCCGTTCCTTTCCTGTTCCGTAACCGTTTTCTTGACGGTTCCGGTTCCAATTCTATTCTGGAGCCTTCTTTTTCCCGTTTTTTTTTTTTTTTTTTTTTTTTTTTTTTTTTTTTTTTTGTTTTCTCCATCTTTTCCATTTTCAAGAGACCATTCTTCGGAAGCGCTGAAAACAAACGGCACTGCCATTTCCAGGGCCCTCGGGTCGAGAGTGATCAGTGTTTGGGGAAGTGGTCGGGGTTTGTAAGTTTTGCGGTCATGGATTGAAACAGCCACATTGTCTGTCGGCGCTGGGTTGACTGGGTAATCCCTGCACACCGCGCGAGTCGCGCGGCGTCCTGGCAGCCCTCTGGCCTGTGGGATCTCCCAGGAGGTTGAGAGACCACCCACTTGTCCACCAGGGTAGTGGGCGTTTCTTCATCCTTCATCCCTGAGGCGCAAGTCCGTCATCATGTTCCGGGAGGGGTGGGGTGGCGGGCGCGAGAGCGCGAAGATTATCGCGCTTCGCGGAGCACGAAGCGCGAATCTAGTTGCCCTAAGCAGCAAAGGGGCACTGTGCTGCGAGCACCGATTGTGTTCGAGCCAGGGCGCCATGCGAAAGCCAAGGCGGCCTCCAACGGGAAAGGCGAAAGCAGAGCGAGACCCAGGACGAGGACGGAGAGAAGAGGGGAAAAAGGACTACGGGCAGGGGAGCGAATAACCAGCCCTCCTCGGACAACTACTTTTCAGTTCGGTGGGGAGCGAGGACGGGACTGGCAATAAGGCCAACGTTCACCATCTGCGGCCACTCCGGTCCCGACCTTGATGTGGGGGTGTAGGGCGGGCAACCCCTTTCTCCGGATGGGAAGACGGGGTAGTCTTGGAATCTATGGTGGAACGACCCGCTTACGCCACTTGTGTTGGTGGGATTAGCAGTCCTTGCTTCGTCGTTTTTTGTTTATTGGTTAGGATGTATGGTTTTGTATTGATTGTTGTGTAGCTTTAGTGCCTTGTTCGACCTATCTCCTCAGCTAGTCGACCCCATGCATCTTCTTCTTCAGAATCGTTGTCTTCATGCTTCATCAGTTTCCCTGCCCCTCCAGCCCTTTCCCCTGCTTCCTCTCGCCCTCCCCTCCCCTCCCCTCCCCTCCCCTCCCCTCCCCTCCCCCCCCTCCACCCCCTCTCCTCTCCCTCTACCTGCCCCGCGCCCCCCTTCTCCCCTCCCGCAGGCGAAGCACGCCTCGACCAGCGAGTTGGACCTGCCGCGGCTGGGGAACTGGGGTGGCGGTCGCCCTCCGCGGGCGCCCTCCTCCGAGGGGTGCGGGCAGCGTGGATCCTGGGCGAAGGATGGAGGGACACCTTTCGGGCGAAGAGAACTATGCACATGCACCGACCCTGGCAAGGCCCATCCTTGACCCAGGATCGGTGCATATGCCTTCCTGGCCAAGGTAGGAGAGCGTATGCACCGATCCTGGGCTCAGGATGGGCCTGGCCAGAATCGGTGTATGTGCATAGTTCTCTTTCTTCTAACCTTGTGGGGCGAGGGGGGCGGGGCTGGAGTGGAAGGGAGGGCTGGGGAGGAGGGGGCCGGGATGGGGGGAGGGGGCTCTGGGAGGAGCAGAGGGGAGAGCGGGGGGCGGGGGAGGGGGAGGGTTCCATGCAATGTGCTGTGAGAGGGCGGTGCCCCGAAGACGAGTTCTTTGGGGAGGATTGTCTTCGCGGCATATCAAGGCATGGGGTCTCGTCGGCGCCAGGAGCGGATCCCGGAGTGCCCACGCAGGGCGATAGGGAGGTAAGGACATGAATTCGCGCAGCCCGTGGCCAGCGGAGTGCACCTTCCGGCAGGAGCCAAGTCCCTCCCAACTCATCGGGGAAGGGGGCGCCCGGATCAAGCCAGTACTACTTTTGCATTTCTGTGTTGATCCCGTGCCTCGCCAGAAGATCCAGTGTGGAGGACTACACGTGAAATTGCCAACGCTGACGGTGATTCTGGTGCTGACGATGCTGCGGATGCTGCTGGCGACAGTGGTGGCCATGAGGATGGCGACGATGGTGACGGTCTGGGTCTGACGCTGGTGCGCGGCCGTGAGTCGGCGTCGCCCCAACATACAAAACTATGTGTGCGTCGCCCCCCTAGGGGCGACGCGCGCACCAAGAATTCTCATAGTAGGTGCGTCGGGGGGGGCGCTTTCGGGCCACACCGCTCGGGAAACGACATGCTACAAGATGGGTGTACTATTTGTTCGGGGTCGCTGTGCGTCCCAGTGAACCTGGTGAGGAGCCGACACAGCATGCTGAGTATCTGCCCGGCGTTGCTGGCGAGGCTTTCTTTCAGGCGATCGCAAATATGGATCAAGGGGGCGTGGATTAGCGACGGGTGCCGTTTCCATTGGAAATCGCGGTTCTCCGCCGCCGAACGAGGCGGCACCGGCCGCGTTTTGGGGAGGGCACCTCCCCGTATCCATGGACTTGGCGACCGCGCGCCAAGTCCATGGATCGTTAATCCATGTTTGCGCGCCCCCGATTCTCGTCGGGCGCTGCTCCACCTGCTTGCGTGCGGGCCGCCGCTCCGCTGCCGCTGCCCCCGCTGCAGGCTGGCCTCCGCCGCCCCCCTCCTGCGCCTGCAGGCTGGCCGCCAGTGCCGGCGTCGTCCTTGAAGTCGCTGCCGTGGTCGTCGGAAGCAGGCGTCGGGCTCCACGCCCTCCAGCTCGTGGGCGCGCGGCTGCGCTGCAGTCGGACCGGGGTATGAAGTCGAGGTCGGTTCGGGGAGGGTGCACTAGTGCTCTTCGTGCTTGTTGGACGTTCTTGCGCACCCTGGGGAGGGCACCCTTGGATGTCCTGTGCGTTTTGGCCGGCGGAGGGTCTCGTTTTCTTGAGGGATGGTCTTCTGCCCTGGGTCAAAATGTACCTCGGCATCGGTGTACTTGAGTTGGTTGCGCAGGTCATGCATCTTGCTGTTGAGCATCTGCTGCCTTTCGATGGCGATGCGGAGGCCGCTGCGGAGCTTGGTGGCCTGGTCGGCGACAGACAAGCAGGAGATACTGATGTACTGGTAAATGCTGATCTCGAAGTCTGTGTCGTTGGTGTCCGTTCAGCTGCGATCGCCAGGGATGCGAGCGTGCCAAGCTTCTTCCAGGCACCTTGCTTGAATCGCTTGAGATCGGCGGGACCGTCGAGCGGCGCAAAGTAGAGCGGGTGGTGTTCAGCCGGAGCTTTGGTAGCCTTTGCGATCTTCTTCATGTAGGCCGCGATCTGACGCGCCTCCAGGCCGTCCTTGCCGTCAGCCTGGCCGCGGCTGGGCGCGCGAGGGCGGGCCCACTGCGACGGCGTGGTGGGCTGAGCTGCGGGGTTCCCTTGCCCCCGCAGAGGCACTTCTGTACGTGGGCGGGCACCTGGCGGCCGCAGCAGCGAGTGGCGGCACGCCAGGCAGTCGGACACTAGGAGTGGTTCGGGCGACGAGAACTAGGCACACACACTGGTCCTGGCCGGGCCCATCCTGGGCCCAGGATCAGTGATACATGCCTCCCTGGCCAGGCCGCGAAGGCGTACGCGCAGGTCCTGGTCCGAGGTTGAGCCCGGCGATGCATCGTGCGCTTCTTCCTGGTGGTGGCACGGCGGGAGGCTGGACGGACGCCCTCCTCGGGGCAGGTAGGAGCCAGGCCTGGCGCGTCTGAGGGCCTGGGCGCTGCTGCCAAGACGGTTCCGCATCGGTGCGCGCCGTGGCGCGCGCCCCACGGTCGCGAGGTGCTTTCCAGAGCTTCCCCCGCCAGGATCGAGCCGCTTGAGCCCAAGAGTTCGCCAACATGGATGGAGCCCAGGTATCCTCCTCCCCCTGACCTCCCTCCCTCCTCCTCCTCCTCCTCCTCCTCCTCCTCATTCGCTGCGGTCCATCTGGTGCTATCTAGAGCCGAGGCTGGCATGAGACGGAAGCGACCCATCCCGCGTCCTTAGCTTGCGGCAGGCATGGGACGAGCGATGGGCTGCATGTTTAGGGATCTCAATGCTGTCGTCCACTTAGGGGATCTCCCAAGGAGGCTGCAGGCTCCAGCTCATCCACGGGCCTGTGGCGGTTTCCCCGCGCAGCGCATCGCCTGACATCATTTCCTCCCCTCCCCCCTCCCCCCTCCCCGCTCTCCCGCTTCGTCTCGCGAGGTCTGGCCCGGCGCCAGAGCAAAGGCGACAACTTGGGCCTCCTCGCTCTGGAGGTGCCGCCGCCGCCCCCGTGCCGAGGAGACGGGGGTCGGGGGAGGTGGGAGGGGGTGAGGACCGAGGCTTCGGGGCGCTTTCGTTTTTTGTTTCGTGCTTTTTTTGTTTTGTTGTTTTGGGGGGGGGGCTTGAGGGGGCCTCCAAGGGGATCCCTTAGCGTCTGGGGGTCCCCTTGGACCTCCGGAGGCCCGTAGAGATCTCCAGAGGATGGGGGAGAAGGGCGAGGGGGAGGGGGGATGAGGATGGGGGAGTGGGGCGAGGGGAGGGGGGATGAGGGCCCCTCCCGTCTCGCCCCGCCCTCCCTCCTCTCTCACCTTTCCTCTCCTCCTTCCTTCCCTCCCTCCTCCCCTCCCTGCCCCCCCAAGCCTCGCCCCCTGACCTCTCTCTCGACCCCGCCAGGGCCGGGTTTCTCTTCCCCAGCCGCTTTTTGACATCCCTCGCGGCCCGAGTGCAGCCACCAGAGGCCCAAACGGCGAGCAGGCGGCCGTCCTGATTTTGCTCCGACCATTTCTGGGTTCCTCCCTCCCCGCCTCTGCCCTCCTCAATCTTCGTTTCTTTCTTTCTTTCTCTCTGTTTGCTCTCTCCATTCATATATATATATATATGTATATATATCGTCGTCGGAGGAGGAGGAGGCGGAGGAGGAGAAGGAGGAGGAAAAACGATCAAACTAACAAGGAAACTACAACTTCACTCCAGCGCTGGATATGTTTGATATTTCGTTTTGTTATCAGCTTATGTGGCTGGTGCATCCACGCAATCGCAACATGGGCGGGAACAGGG